TGGAAACTTTACCCTAGTTTTTGCTTGTCAAGGTTTTTTTCAGGTAGGTTTTCAAAAAAAAAAAATCTGAACCCCCCCCCCCCCGCTTTCAAAAACGATACTACGTGCCTGTATTTTATAATTTTAAAATTTCTTAACTCCTTTATATGCATTTTAACTATTCAAAATAGACAACCGCCGATACATTAAAAAAAACATATATTAAACTTTAATTCACATAAGTAAAACGACTGTATATTTTTTCTACATTTTCATGGATTTTTATGAAATCACCACACGTTGCTCAAAAGTTAAGACTATATGTACTACATGTACTTTGTTACATATATACAGGGTGTTTCAACAAACATGTCCCGACTTTCGATGTCTATATTTTTGCACAATAATAAAATATTTACAAAGTTATATCTGTATTTTATAGCACATTTTCCGGCAATATAATTGTGATATAAACAATATAAAATAACGTCATTTTAGTTTTTTTCCATTGAAGTTTTGATTACATCATCAAAAACCAGATAGTCAGGTTTTTTCTCCAAAAATGGATCTATTTTTGTTTTTGAACTAAACAATACAAACAGAAAATCTCCAATATCACCAATTTTAGTGCATAAAATTTTGAAAAAAGAAGTACTCATATGAAAACCATCTTTCTAAGGAGCAGACTTTTCAAATGATGTCAAAATGTATACCATACAGAACTTCAAAGACAAAATGAGGATGTTGACTTTAAAAATATTGCACATAAAAAATGACGTTGAATTGAGAACTGCCGCTGATGTTCAAACTTTAAAAATACCTATCTTAAAAATTAATTGATTCAGCATTACTTCAAATTTCATATTAACAAAATTGTTAAGTTTATGTGGTTTTCATTTTTGCAAAAATTTTCTTACATTAATACTGTGTAACTTGATATTGAATCCGCAAAGTCGGGACATGTTTGCTGAAACACCCTGTATATCAAAAAGTGATATGCGTTTTCAATATTAAAATTTAAGTTGCACAATTATTTTCTCGATTTTCTTTACTGTTGAATTCCAGAAAGTTTTTGGTCAAATTCTACAACCCAGATGAACGCAACGTTGCTTCAAAATTTTTGTATGAATTGCTAGTAATATAATCTTTAATCAAAAGGTATTTTGGTGTGTCAAATAGCTATAAATCGATTAGCGTACAGGTGTTTTTCGTTCCAGAACCAGCAGGGAGGGATCTCTGTATGAAAAGGTCACGCATGCACATCCTTGATTATTATCAAAAGTACACACAGTGGGTGGTGGAGGAGAAGAGTTTGATTGATTTGTTGTTAACTCTCCTGTATTATATCACATGTTTTTATTTATTTTTATTTAGGCCTATATGTCATTGTTTTAAACTTTCAAAAGAAATTGCTATATAGAGGAATGACATACTTTAAAAAATCCAACAATTAAGGAGGCTGGGGGGTCAACAAATTAACCACAAATTAACCATCAGATTTAACTTAATTTTTTAGATATGATATCTTAAGCTGTCAACTATCATTTGGCAAAGAAAAATTTCAAAAATTTTAGTTTTAAAATTTGATCATTTTCTATACCTTTATATGGAGCTCTTCTTCTAAAGGAGATCAATATAGTCTAAAAATGGCCACAACACCCCAGCCTCTTTAAACACACAACTGGTAATATGCATCCCCCTTTTTTACGTTATCTATACAAGTATTCTGTGTAGAATGTTTTTTATTCGGGGTTGTTCATATACTACAAGTTTAAGATTGTGTGCCTGTCAATTTATCTACATGTATAATATACGTTGTACATATTCTCGAGAGTCTACCGGAATTTTAAAAGAATCTTTTTTAAAAAGATTACTAACACGTTATTCCTCCTTTTGTAATTATAGTATGTTTCAAGCATCCAAGCCACATTGAACTGTTCTCTAATGAATATTAATGAAATGTGCGCAATGAGGATGCGTTGCATATTATGTCGATGTGTTCTCACTCGTGCAGTTTTCGTTTTTACGTTTGTGTAATTTCCTCACTATATCGTGTAAATATTTTCTCGATTGTGCAATTTTCTATAGTTTGTGTAAATTTCAATAGCTTAGTGTATATTTTCTTCACTTTGTATAAATTTTTACTTACTCGTGTAATTTTTGTTTTAGGTCGTGCAGAAAATAATTTTGAAGCAATCGGCGTGCCATACTGGTGCTAATTGAATTTGTTTTGTGTTTTTTAAATATATTTTTTAAAGTTTTATTTTTATTTATTTATTTATTTTGTGCATCGACTAGAAAAATATCTAGGTTTATTTTTTAAAAATAGTGTATATTCTGTCCTTTGGGTCTTAGACATAAATGGTTAGACGAAAGATGCGAGATTATAGTATAAAGTAAAGATTCCTTTAGAAGATCTTGAATTCCTCGATGGTCATTATTTGAAACAGCATTTAAAAAAGAACTTCGGAAAGAGAAAACCTTATTTACATGTATATTTTCTTGTAATTTCTAGATTCTTTCTCGTAATAACAATAAAATCATCTCAAAATTACGATATTTTTTCTCGTAATTAAGAGGTTTTCTCGTAATTAGGAAATCTTTTCTCGTTATAACAAGATAATTTTCTTGCAATAACGAGATACTTTTATTGCATATACGAGATAATGATTTGCATTTATGAGATCTTTTCTCGTAATTAAAAGATAATTATATCGTTATTACGAGATGATGGAGCGTCATTACCTTCATTTTTCTTGATGCTATATATTAGACATGTACATTCAAGTGAGCGGTACTTGTGAGTGTAATATAAGATTAATCAAGGAACAAGAAATTAATCACAAATACGAAACTTTTTTTTATAATCATTTAATGTACACAAATTCAATAAAATGTATGGGAAACAAAAACAGATCATCTTCATATATTTTGTGCACTGCTATATCTCGAAACATACATATGATAAAAAATTCCGAAAAAAGCATTTAATTTTTTCATAGGATTAAATATAATATATACTTACAAACTCTAAATAAAATCATATTGTGGTATTGTAACTCTAGGTAACATACTCCATACGGTATTTTTAGGGGTAATTATCGCAAATGCTCAATTAAATTTACACTATATGGCGTTTTTGCGGACATGTCGAGATTTCATTGAAATTGAACAACTTTGCAAATTTCAACGTGTTGGCTGATTATCATGTTCTCAAGTACAACATTTTACAGGCAGAGATGTCGCCCACAGTGGTTAGAGCGAAGATGTCGCTTTGTTCTTGAGTTAATCCTTTTTCATAAGTACATGGCGGGGACCAAAAGCATTGATTATAATTATATTCTCGAAGTATCATAAAGAAAAGATAAAAGACCAGGAACAGGTGGACATTTTCATACCAAAACCAATAGTATTACGACTTTTCAACACTCCTCACGATAAATTAAAGACCAGACTTTTTGACATAGATAACTTAAAGAAATGGAACATGTAAATTTGATACCTGCAAAAATTATTTTATTAAAAAAACATTCTGATTCTACACACAAGTACTCCGAGATTGATATTAAAAAGATGCATTAATTTCATTAACCAATATCTAAATATCTATGTAATCTTTGGAGACAAGGGCTTCCACTTATCCTTTTGAATACCTATGGGTACAGATTGTGCATTGTTATTAGCAGACCTGTTTTGTATTCTTAAGAGGCAAAAATTATTCAAAAACTTCGACATGCAAAGAATAAGTCTCCTGCTGTGGCCTTTAACTTGACATTCAGATATATCGACGTCGTTTTATCAATCAACAGTATTTATTTTTCATAATCTAATTCGATATATCCCAGTCAAGTGAATTAAAGGACACCAAAGAGTCTATTTCATATTTGGATGTTTCACTGAATATAGACGATAAGAACCAACTAACAACTAAACTGTATGACAATTGACTTGACTCTTGACAGCTTTACCATCGTCAACATTCCTTATTTATACACAGACTACTATTCTACAATCACCTGCATATGGTGTTTATTCGATGCCTAGCTGCATACTCTGAGTACGATCAATTTTTAAACCGAGGAAGTCTAGAGAAAAAAAGTTGATATTAAATTCAAAGTCAGCATTTCATCCCTTTGTTTGTTGGTTTAAATGTTTAAGTCCCTTCGAGAATTTTTCATTCATACTGAGATGTCACAACTTGTCGGTGGAGGACTGCAAATTTAGATCTGTACTCGGCACTTACGGCCTTTGAGTAGTGAGCGATCTTTTTCATGCCAACACCTTCTGCGACACTGGTCCTCGGTTTATACGGTCTCAATCGAAGGACCGGTCTCCACGTCACACAGTGGAATCGAACCCGCAACGTAAGGATCACCTCCTTACTCCACGAATCTAGAGAATGTCCTAACCACTGCGCCTTGCTGGCGACTCAGCAGTTCGTAATTCCTAATTTCTATATTATATTCGTTATAATGACATTGTTTGCAAATGAATGCTTGTCATAGGACATAGATTAATTAATTCTTACTGGTACAGCCTTCCGGTTGAAATACTTTTGATATTGTTCAAAAGTTCTTTGTTTTGCAGTCGATAGCAAATACATGACAAATGCAAAGATAACGAACAGTGATCCAACAACAACAACAACAAAACGAAAAAAACAAATATAAATCTGTGAAAAGGGCAGAAAATCACGAACCCTGGAACTTTCACAGGTGGGATCAGGTGCCTAGGAGGAGTAAGCATCCTCTGTGAACCGGTCACATCTTACGTGATCCTTATGTACTGATCAGGTGGACGGAATAATCCGTCAAATTTAGTTTTATAAAAAATGACCTAACGATTGAATGAAATACTAGTATGCCAGTCAAATTACGATTCAATGATAGCTTGTCAGCGGTTCTGGGGAGAAGGTTAAAAGAACAACGTCTCGGAAACTTAAAGTGATACAGAGAGTGGACTTGCTTTATACAGAAAAAAAATAAACTAACTGCTTTGCTTCGTAAAAAAAAATGATCATCTTAAGTTGTCTTCTGACATCTCCCTAACAACAATGGTAACCCAAAAGAAAAAAAAAGAAACAAACCTTGACTGCCAGTGAAAATTATATGAAGGAAAGATAATATCTGTAGCTGAAAAATCTGATGTAAAAATCCCAAAAGCCAGGAAGACCCCGTCAGAGTTGAGAGTTTGAAATAAATCTTCATCATCTGCTTCTCGTTTGTGTTTGAGATAGGGTTATTTTTCTTTGTTCGGATCTCCCTCACAATGATAAAGAACATGAACATATTTAGAGTTATCATGAGCGCGATGGGTATTAAAAAAGTATACAGATTAAGATAGGGATGTGATATGTAGCAAGTCGACAAAGAGTAACCCAAATTTGTATCCATGTAGACAAATCGACTGAGTAAAATATTTGCAAGTGTCATCATAAGGGGGATCACAAAGCTGAACGCGACGTTTACTAAGTGGTGCAATATGGGTAATGTTTGTATGTTTGATTTTTTTATGGTCCAGGAAGTAAAGGATCTAAAGATTGAGAAACAAGACATGCACATCAGACTTATGACTCCAAGCCAAAGAAACTGGGTCAATCCGCCTACAAACAGGCATAAGGTAGGGTAAAGCCGAGAAATTTTCGACACAGAGTAGGCCAAGTTGGCAAGGAGAAGAGTAAAAGATAAAGCAGTCATGTTATATTTGAATAGAGAATTCGAATTTTGGATACAGGTATTTGCAACCAGAGATCCTATACATCCTAAAGAAGAGAGAATGGTACATACAAGGGACAAATATTTTTCTTCTGTGGTCTCATCTAGGATTGGTGCGGCCATGCCTCTTTTAACTTGGTACTGTTGAAGGCACACAAAAACTGTGCCTTTGTCATGAGACTCATGAAAATATTGGGAATCTATGTAAAAATCAAAGTCAAGGAAATAAAGAGTAAAGTTAAATATCAAAACGTGGAATTTATGCTTATCTATCATAATTTTTGGACAAAAAGACCATGCAGCGATGATTGTAGTGTCACGTAACGACGGAGGGGTCAGACAACTTAATTGCTTATATTTGTCTACATAGGTAGAAACCCCGGTATCCCCCCATTCATATGCCGTTAACATGATGTCCTTCGTCATGGGATTACGAAAATAAGGCACTAGCATACCATCTTTTTCAAAATATCCAGAGAAAGTTTGTCCGACATGTTTTACGGCAAGGTTATGTATAATGGAACCATCCATCTTATCCAGCCTTTTGTTTAGAAGGTATATAAACTCTACATATTTATGCCATGTAGGAACGGAAAGTTTGATAATTGCGGCCAAATAATAAAATTGTGCTTCCCATAAGTTCTCAGAGGGATAATGAAGAATTGTATAAGAGCAAAGATGGTTCCTAAGACTGTTCAAAGTTAAAAAATTTTCAATGAAAGATTTCAAAGTTGTAACAATATGTCTTACGCCTGAAGAATGATTGGATATTGGAATAAATATCAAATTGATTTCGTAGTTGCTCACTGTAATTGTGGAATGAAAGGGAATACATTGCGAATTATTGATCCTCATTCCTTCTTCACAAACGATGGGGATACAGTCATCCTACAATAAAAACATTGAGAAACTGCATTATTGAATTAATAATAAAGGAGTCTACATAAAATTAGCGTATTCTTGGTTTAAATTGATGTAACTCACCGCTAAAGGGTGACAAGAATTACGATGGCCGACAGCGGCCGCCACTTTCTGATTAAGAATATTGTCATTTTGTACAGCGTTTTTGTCAATTTTCGTTGACATATTACAACTAAACTGGTAATGCTATATGCACATGTACACTTTTTACACTGACAATTTACACCAGCGAAAAACATTAAAATTCTTTCGTGTGATATGAAATTAAGATACATAAAACAGGTGGCTTGAAAGAGACAAGGAGCATTTTAATGATTTTCACCCTCAATTAGTCTGAGATATTGTAACCCAGTTAATCCTAGATTAGACGTAAATCTCAAAGTGTATGAGACAACTCGATTCTACCTATTATGTAGAGGTAGAAAAACAGGATTTAGTAGCTCTACATGTGAGCATCCAATCAAAAGTTTATGGAATGTATCAAAAACAAAACTTTAGATACGGAAATATACCCGTTTTTAAGCAAGAATAAAATGACAACCTTAAATGTGGGAGTCTGTATTTGCTCTCTAAATACATAAAATTAATAACTAAATGCTTGAAACACTTTTAAAGGCCAACGCAACCTCTCAAGACTCCCACCTGGTCGGCCAATTATTTTTCAATGTGCCACGGGAATGAAAATATAGGTACATGTAACTAATGCGATCATTTCCTCGTGCGCATTGTTTAAAAAACAAAATTCATACTTCAAAGACACGTCCGATTATGAACAAAATCAAATTTCTGATAGACCTGGAAAATTTCATCCTGGTTACCTATGATGTGACCAGCAGGTACACCAACATGGAATTTTATGAATTAATTACTACAATCTGTCGAGAAAGCATATCTAGAAGACAATACTAATCTGTTATCACCCCGACCTTGCTGTTCTGCTAGAACCTTAAGCTTATCACCTTCAAGTAACCTGTTTTATGTATCTTCATTTCATATCACAAGAAAGAATTTTAATGATTTTCTCCAGTGTAAATTGTCAGTGTAAAAACTGTATACGGACATATAGCATTACCAGTTTAGTTGTAATTTGTCAACGAAAATTGACAAAAAAGCTGTACAAAATGACAATATTCAGAATCAAAAGTGGCGGCCGCTGTCGGCCATCGTACAAAAATAGATTAATCTGCTAATTGAAGACGATTGTCTGCTGGTCTTGTTTTGTTTCAAAGTTTTTTCTTTATATCTTCATGCTTTCGATGTAATCTTAAGCAAACAATGGAACTTTTGCATCCCAACCTAATCCAGAAATTTAAATTGATTAATCCGTAATGTACATGAAAAAAAAATATAGCATTATATTTGACGGTTCTGTTGAAAGCTTTGATAAATTTATTCGGGCCTAAATGGATACATCCTGCTCCGGGGACAAAATCAGGAAGTGGGAAATATATTCATGTATTCTTAATCATCAATATATTTTTCAGAATACTAGTATTTCCAATACATGCTGTTTTAAAAAAAAACTTTTACCGTTTTTTCACGGCAACTTTAGCTCTAAATAATCCCTTTGATTTTCTTTGGGGTATACACGAAAACATTACACAGGTAACAAATGAAATCAAAGAACTATTTTCTTTTTTAACTCATAAGTGTTCCAATTTCAACAAAAATACCCCTTTTTTATCCCCTTTCTCTGCAGTCAGGTTCCAATACTCTGGTCATACTTAAAGAACGCTGAATCCACAGTTATTTACAAATTATTGAAAATGTGAATTTAGAAAAAAAAAATTCTTAAAGGAATTCTCTACAATTCGAAAGAAAACATCATTTTGAGCTCTTGAGACCATATTTTAAGGAAATAATAATTGTCAATAAGAATAGCTTCACATTTATTGAAATTTGAAGATAGCATATAAATTTTGAAAGTGTTCCTCTCTGTGTTTCTACCGTTCACGGTAGCTCAGTCGGTAGAGCGCTCGCTCCGTGATCGGGAGGTCGTCTGTCACCGTCGTGAGTTCGAAACTCGGCCGCGACTGACCTAAGTCGATATAAAATGGGTAGCAACTGTTCTTTCGCCATGCGCTCGGCACTTTGAAGTGAAAGTTGCGGGTCCTTCGGATGAGACCTTAAAAACCGAGGCCCCGTGTCACGGCAGGCGTTGGCACGATAAAGATCCCTCAGTGCTCAATGACCCTGAGTGCCGAGTACCGGTAAAGGTCAAAATTTGAAGCTCTTCACCGGTATATGGTGACGTCTCTATATGAGTGAAAAAACTCTCGAATGGGACGTAAAACAACATACAATCAATCAATCAATCATCTCTGTGTTTCTACCAAAAGTATGTATATACATATTTTGGCCCACCTTGACTCAGGAGAACAAGTAGTAGAAACTGAATTTAACCTCAGTCCTAGAAAACGTTCAGATCGTTTAATTTTTTTCTTTAAGAGATTTTAGTGGTTATGAAAAAAAGTAAACCGATTCAGTGTATTTTGGTTATCGCTTTTTTATAAGAGATGAGTTCAATCTTCTATCAAACAAGGATGTTTTGTGCAAAATTTTATTTAAATTGGTCCAGTTTTGTTGGGTAAAAATCAGTTGATAAGTAATAAACGGAAATCGTTCAAATTTCCATTTAAAAACAATTTTATCTCTTGAGAGATATGTTTTTTGTGTCCGATTAACAACCTTCAATCTTGAATTCGAGACAGTCATGTTTTTATTAATGTCAAACTTAATGTTCATAATAAAATAAGAAGTAATGATAATATCTCAATTTTATTTTTCAGCTCACCTGAGCCAGGCTCATTAGTACTGCCACCGAGGATAGGGTGGATCAAGGCCATTCCAAGTTTTTTTCTATGTTTAGTATCCGCGTGAACCTCAGTTTTTGACACCCAATATCAGAAAACACAAACAGAATCAGGCTTAGGAGTCCCGAAAGTGATTATTCTGGTCGAAATCTTTGAATTCTATCATTTTCTCTTGTAATCTATCTACAATATGTCATACTAAATATATTTTAAGCATTTGATACCATGATTTTGCGAAAGAATACATTTTTCTACGAGAAAAATATATAATTGAAATCAACTTCTTTGAATGACGTCATTATTATGACTATAAAGTCTGTGTTTTATTTTTTAACTTGTGCGTTTTTTTTTTTTGCGAATAGGTAGGTAGGTTTTTTGAAAGATGGGTTGACGCTAAACAGAGAAAAAACTTGCAATGGCCTAACATTTTTACAGGTGAATGCATAGAAAAAATGTCAAGAAATAATTATAGTATGGGATATGATCAAACCATGTATCCACTTTAAAAAGGGATATCTGGACATATATTTCAAATTAACAAAAGGTGCCAGCTTTTCAACAAACACACTAATTTACCTGATCATTCTATTTTGTCAATGAAATAAGAATTCTGGAAAAAAATTACCATCATACTAATAGCCCTCTCCGTGGACAACAAGAAAACTACTGGGCAAGGAAACAATTAAAGCATTTGCTTTTTTATATGGTTGTCAAACTATTGTAAATCACTTTTTCTTCTCTGGAACTTTATTTTGGCGAAATTACTGGAGAATGTCTGCTCGCAAAAAGGCCATTCTCGCGGACATTAGCATTATTAAAGATAATATAGAGCAATGATCGAAATTCGTGTTTGTTTTCTCACTTTTAAAATACCAAATAACAACTTTGCGAAAATAAGGTGTAGCGAAAATTAAGTGATCTTCATTAACAACTAAACTTTTTGATTAACATGATGACTTCAACTTTTTCGTATTCTTTCCTTATTTATGTAGCAATACACCATAAAAAATAGTCCATTATCACCTGCGTATGGAGTTTATGTCCAAGATGAGCATGTTCTACCTATGAACAATTTCTTAAAATAAGACAAGCTATTGTTTAATAAGTTGATGTAACAAGGATATCAAAAATATCGAGTAAATTCAACATTTCTATCGTCGATATGATGACCTTGTAAGCAAATACAATCTATCGTTAAGACGAATGTTGACATTTTTCATACAAATTGTTAGACCTTTACTTTCACACTGAATTGTCCATACATTTTTCCGTTTACCTGATCATGAAAAGTAGCACACGGCGGGTATGACCGTCGACAGGTGATGCTAACTCCTTCGTGGCACCTGAGCCCACTTCTGATATTTTAGGAGCTCCGTGTTTGCCCTGCTCACAATTTGTATTGTTTCAAAGGAATTTTGAGTTTGATTACTGTTCGTTATCTACACATTTCATGATATCAAATTAATATGGAAGCATCTTCGGGTAGTACAGCTAACTTAATGTTGAAGTATAACTAAATGTTGAAGTTATGAGGTTGGTGGGGGTCACAATGCGGTTTTGAAATTTTAAATGGGAATACTAGAACATGTGAATTTATTTTTTAAAAAATCTTCTCAAGAATGGTCAGATCATGATGTCATTAATATGCAAACAACATCGAATAGTGCGGATTCAAAATTGCTCAAATCATTGCCGGAGGGAAGGCTTGAACCATAATACGAATTCAAAACTTTAGGTAAGGAAAAACGGGAGAAATCCTATCGGCGGGGCCAATTTTAGCTGTGTATATTTGCAAGCATCCTCGGGTTATGCACATTCATCTTAAAATTGACAGTAAAGGATGGTGAGAGTAATATAGGGAATAAGCGGCATTCTTTATGTGGTTAACTTATATGCAGTCATGTGCTTAAGGTCAGACGATACGTTCCTCAAATATCTGTTTTGTATATCTACGTATTGTGTGGAATATATTCAAAATTTTAATTACCTTCTGATTTCTAAACTGGTTTTTAATTGTCTTTTAAAAAATGAAACACTAAAAAATGTGTTATTGGCTAATTGAGTTTTTTCTAAAAGGATTTTATAGGAAACAACATCCTCTGGTATCTTGCACAAATGCCTGGTAAGGTACCTCGATTTTTTGCGAGTAAACATGTTAAAGTAGCAATACTTCAGTGACAAAATCTTAGAAAAAATTATATATTATTTAGGAACGTATCATCTTTCCTTAACTCAGACGGAATAAGCGGCATTCTTCATGTGGGAAACTTATATGTAATCACGTGGTTAATAAGAAGCAGAATTAATGTGGTTAACTTACATGGAATAAGCATCATTCTTAATGGATTTTGAGCATGAATACTGCTTGTTATCTTTACATATCATAGTTTACATACGTACAGAATGAATAAAAGTTCTAAAGATTGAGAAACAAGACATGAGCATCAAAATTACGACTCCAAGCCGAAGAAACTGGGTCAACCCGCCTAAAAACAAGCATAACGTAGGGTGGCAAAGGATAGTTTTTTTAATGCCAAACATGTGCCGAGGGGGTACACATATACATGCGATCCATAAAAACATGTACATGGGGACAGTTTTCCAGGGGCTAATTAATTACACTTCATATGCCTATGTCTCACAAATTACATGTAATCTGCCTATTAGAGTGCACATGTACCAAAAATGCACCTGGGGACTCCCCAAATTTTGCCTTGTTTTTCCAAGATTTGGGCCTCACTCGCACCCATACAACCCACCCCCAGGACCGAGCGAGCAGGATGAAACACCCAGTAGTCTGTAAATCAATGCATGCCCTAATGAAAATTCACCAATTGATATGGGTCCATTCACTTTCCCTCTGAGATCCACACCTTCTAAGGCCTACTGCTTTTCAGCTGAATTTCCTCTGCAACTGACCACGTGTCTTAGTTTCGCATTTACAACTCTGTATATGATAAGCGCCATAGTGACACGTACATGTTATACATCATTTTTTTCAGCAAGCACTCTGCTACACTGCAAATGTGTCCCATAATTATTCTAATCATTTTTCTACATAAAATATCACATCAAACAGGGGATATCTCAGTTTTTCAAGAAATTTGACCGGGTCTTTAGTACGAAACTATCCCCTGCCACCTAGGATAAAGCCAAGAAATTTTTGACAATGAATAGGCCATGTTGGCAAGGAGGAGAGAAAAAAATAAAGCAATCGTGTTATATTTGAATAGAGAAGTCGAGTTTCGGATAGAAGTTTTTAAACCAGAGATCCTATACATCCTCAAGAACAGAAAATTGTACAAACGAGGGACAAAATATTTTTCTTCTGTGGTCATATCTAGAATTAGCTCAGCCGAACTTCTTTTTACTTTTTACTGTTCAACGCACACCATAACTGTGCTTTTATCGTTCGTTTTGTGAAAATATTGGGAACCTATGTAAAAAATCAAAGTTAAGAAAATAAAGAGTAAAGATAACAAACATGAAATTTGCACTTATGAATAATAATTCTTGAACAAAACAATCATGCAGCGATGATTGTAATGGGATTTAATGATTGAGGAGGCAGACATGTCAACTGCTTATATTCTTCTACATAGGTGGTGTGACCTGCCCCCCTCCCCTCCTCCCCCCCCCCCAATCATATCCTTTAATTATTTTATCCTGCGTCATGCGATTCTGCAAACAATTCATTCACCTGCATCTTTCTTAAAATATATTAAGTAGGGATGCGCGATTTTATCGGTATACCGGTATATCGCGATTTTTTATTGCGTGATATGTATCGTGATATGGGGACTTAAATACCGGTATTTGGTACATAACTATAAATTCCGGAAATTATTCATTTATTTGTTCAAACTATTGAATGACAATTACAGGAAGTGTAAAAAATGTTGAAAACAGTTAAACAATGGCATCAAAACATGCTTTATATTAAATAAATGAAAATTTAAAAAGTAAAGTTATGTTTTTATAGCATATTTTTAAGAAATATTATGGAAATTCATTTGAAATTGTAGTAAAAATTGCGTGTAAAAATATCACAATTTATCGTGATATTGTTGAGAAAAAATCGTGATATATCATGAAACGAAATTTTTGCCGATACCCATCCCTAATATTAAGAAATTTGTCCTACATGTTTAACGACAAAATTGGATTTAGTGGAACCATCCATTTTTTATTTGAAGTTTCATTAACTCACTATATTGTCATGTAGACACTAAAAGTTTGCTAATTGCTGCAAAATTATAAAACTGTGCTTGCCATAAGTTTTTAGCGGGATAATAACAATCGAATAAGAACAAAGATGATCTATAGGTCCGTTTGAATTTATAAAATTTTCAAAGAAAAAACTTAAAGCGTCAAGAGAATTTCGAAGGCTTGAAGAATGACGGCATGTTGGAATAATATTAAATTGATTTCATAATTGCTCCGTGTAATTGTGGATAAACAGGAATACATTTAGATTTTTAACCCTCATCCCTTCTTCACAAACGGTGGGGATACGATACAATTTAAGAAATATTGACAGAAGCAACGTTAAATAAATACTTGAAGATTTTCTGTTAAAAAAGTAATGCATCCTCGGATTAAAATTTTGCTATTAGTCTCTACTTCAAGATTAAATAAAATGAAAAACACAAGAACTTTTAACAATACTAACTGATTACAAATAATTAACATAATAATACTACTGCCCCCCCCCCCTTTACCCTTGAGATTTTCTGCTCTCGATGTAATTCTATGCAAAACAATTGGATCTTTTGGAGCCTACTCTCATCCAGTATTATTTATTTTAATTAATCCTAACTGTATACTTTCAGATTAGAGAAAATGCAAAATTAGAGCACTATTTTTGACGATTCTTTTGAAATGAATATCCTGGATACAGGAAAGGACATAATCTGACGGTATCAATGGTGTTTCTTTTACTTTTCACTGAAGATTGTATCCTTAATTGGCATATATATGTACTCTCTCGGGTAATTGTAGACGGATTTTTCCCTTATTTTCCGATCATGACAAAGAGCACACGGCGGGTGTGAACGGTCGGCAGGGGATGCTCACTCCTCCATGGCACCTGATCCCACCTCTGATGCTTTGGAGGTCCGTGTTTGCTCTGCTCTTATTTTGTATTGTTTAATGGAAATTTTAGCTTGAATACTGTTCGTTATCTCCATAAATTTCATTTGAATAAATTGAATCCTGAATCTTTACTACGAGGAATATTTTAAAATATTTAAACATCATTGTAGCTCATGGGGCCATGGTTTGAACAAATAATAATTACCATCAAGTAACAATAGCTGCAATAGTTTAAATATACATGCATATATACAATAAACTTTATTTTTGTTTCTAACAGAATTCTTGGTACTAATATTGCTGCCTCATTCTGACTCCAAAAAACGCGATTTGTAACAATAAATTGAAATTTATGCTCACAACAACATGTGATTCCTTTCCTCTGAGCGATTCAATTTTTTAAAAAATTTTAAATAACTCAATCCTTTCAGATTTTAGATATCACTTTGTTTTACAAGGAGAGAAGACCTTTTTTTACAGGTTAATCCCCTTTCAATAGCGCTGTTTTTGTGCATAATCTAATTGATGTTGTCGCAGTGATTCTTTGAAATAATAAGGAGATAATCAACCAACAGATGCTAAATTCCGATCAGAAAAAAAATTCTTTATTTCAGTCGAGCTTAAAATGAATCTAGTATTCAGTATTTTATTTACTTACTACATGTGATTCATACAGTGAATCTTTGGAACACTTTGTGCCTTCACTAGGCGTTGGCACATCCTCATTTGCCCTGAAATCAATTAAGGCTGAAAAAGAGACGAGACTGAAAGGATTTTTCAAGTCATAGACTTCTACCGAAGACACGCATTCGATTCCCAATGAACTATCCCAGTCATGGAAATTGCACATTGCACAGAATATATTTTTGAACACCCTTCTCTCAAACGCTGTACTGCATTCTAGATAAACGTAGACGAAGTCTGAATGACACGCGTTAAAAATAATGCTGTCGAAAATTTTCCATTCTCCAGTTTCATTACAATTACTGATATACAGTTTTTCAGAGAAGCAGTCTCTTGTAAATGTAGATGTTTGAGGAACAAAAATTACATTGCATAAGGAATTTTTCTGAAAAGCAACTGATTGCAGTTGATCTAAAGATTGGGTTTGGATAAGAGTCTTTCTGGATGAGCAAACCAATATTGGTGTCCACGGAACAAGGTTGCTCAAAGATTCTCCGTTACAAATCGCACAGTCAAGATTTTTGAAGCTCTCATTGGAAAATGGAGAAAATACTGGTTGGTATAAGTACATGTCTTTTTCTTGTAATGGGTTATTACATCTTTGGTGCGTATTGGAGTCTGTGTAATTAAAAGGACATTGCGAAATCATAAAGTATGCCTTAATAGAGCGTTTTACGCTTTGATAATTAACTTGTGGTGCAATGCACTGTTGAGGGACATTAATGTACTTTGATGGAGTGAATTGATTATTATCCATATATGATATATAGTCTGGGGTCATCTCCACATCTTGCTTGTAGTTCCTCCAAGGGCAACAGTTGTTCTTTCTTTTACATTCATATCTACATTCACACTGAAAGCAACTTGGAAATGGTAAAATTGCCGTATAATTTCTCTTGTATTGATTTCCAAAGCACATATCTTGCCCCGGACAAAATAAAAGATGGGACTGAATGTAGAATCGAATTGTATCATTTTGAATCCATTCTGTCATGTTTTTCACGACCTCCCGGTCCTGCTCAGTGGGCCTTCTGGATGCACCTCCGTTCATCCAAGGATGAAAGTTATATGCATATGTCAGGCTTGGAAAGCTCGAAACAAGCATAAAAGCCAAAATAAGTGTACCCTTTAAAAGATTAAAAAAAAAGACTCAGAACCTTTCTTAAATGTTCACAAATATGGACAAATGACAGCAGAGAATTCCTGGGAGGAGAATAAAACTAAATGTACAAAAAATAACTGAAAATCTCTTATACATATAAAAACTGCTTTACAACATTACATGCGCGTATTTAGAGAGGGGGAGGGGGTCTGAACCCTTGAATTTTTTGAGTTTTCAAATCTTTACAGTAAAGTAAGGTAAAGATTACATCGGACCCCCTAGAAAAGATGGAAACCTTGTAAAATTGTAAGGAGAATCAATTGTACATTTGTATGAAGGAAAGTGACTTGTTCTTACCACCCCTACGAAATAGGTTCATTGGGTTTGGAAAGTTTTTTATAGGGTTGTATTTTTTTTGTTTATCAAAAGATTTCCGAGCTGAATTTTTTTAACCGTATGAAACACATCCCCCGAAAAATTCCTGGATCCGGACATGACTGATGATTTAGAAAGTTAAAAAGAAAAGGGATAATCTTGTGATTAAAAAAAAATAATTTCTGATCTGCATCTCTCAATGGTCTTCTGATATTAACATTGGATATTTTCAGAATATGTTTTCTGTATTTTTGTGTCAAATATTGAACGCTCAACATCTGCATTGGTTTTTACGTTAGTGTATATCTGAAGTAAAAATAAACAAAATTTCACATAAAATTTGACTCTATTATTAAAAAAGTAAAAGAACAATGGCGAATTACCTATGACTTCAAGTCTTAAAGATCGAATCAATTTTGTGAGCTAAAAATTTAAAACATATTTCTTATTAATAAAAGGTATAAAAGAAATGAGAAAATGACAAACAGTAATCATATTCAGAAGTACAATAAACAATACACATTTTGCGCACAGTGCATGTAAACTAAAATATCAAAGAAAATTTTGTCTCAGAGACACATTCATGATAGCTTTGTCCTTGGAGCGCTCGCTGAGTGATTGGAAGGTAGTGGATTCCAGTTTTTCTGCGACAGACCTAAGTCGATAAAAATTGGCAGCACTTGTTCCTTTGCCAAGCGCTCGGCGCTTTAAAGTGAAAGTGTTGGTTCCTCGGATGAAACCTTAATATCCAAAGCCCCCTGTCGCGGTAGTCTTTGGCAAGATAAAGATTCTTCACTGTTCAATGACCCTGAGTGTCGAGTAATTTGAAATTTGAAGCCCTTTGTCGCTATATGGTGACATCTCTAGAAAAAGACTTTAATGGTAACCTAAAAACAAAGCTTAATGAAAAACTTGATGACTTCAATTTTTCAATCGTCAACTTCCCTTATTCATGTAGCAATATGCCCTTATCACTTGCATGTGGGTTTTTTGTCTTCCAGTTGATTCGATGCGCAAGAACATGCTTTATGTATGAACTATTTCTAAAACGAGGCAAGCTATAGACAAACAAGTTGATGAAACAAGGATATCAACATTCTCGTTTGACGTCATCATTTTGCAAGTTTTATGACAAGTTTTATGGTCGATACAATGACCTTGTCAGCAAATTCAACCTATCATTAAGTCAAATGCTGACTGAAGTTTTTCATATTAATTGTCAGGCAATCATTTACACACTGAATTGGCTACGAACTTTTCCGCTTTTACCGATCATGACAGATGTGAACGGTCAGCAGGGGATGCCCACTCCCGTTCCATTCCCTCTGATGTTTTTGGAGGTCCGTGTTTGCTCTGGTCCCGATTTGTATTGTCTAAATGGACTTTGAGCTTGACTACTGTTCATTATCTCCATATTTCACTCTATATAAGTGAGAAATTCTCGAAGGATCCAATCAAAATCGAGATTTATTTTTTTTTTTCACTTTCTTATTTACCGTACCATAGTCATTTTTCTCGGCTTATTATTCTTAAACAAGTACAATACTATTTAGTGTTCAAATTCAACAATATACACATATATAATGGTCTAAGTGGGATACTGGCTCTTTTATCAAATCTGAGACAGGAAAAGTTCCTGTCGAGAGTTTGATGGAAAGGCTATCCCATTCAAAGACGGCGGATAAACGTTTTATTATACTGATATTTTATATGTCCATGGGGACGGACAAGATATTCTTAAAGTCCGGGATATATTTTGCGTGAAAGAAGATATATTTTTACGGAGGCTGGATAGCGCATATTAATAAATAGGGTATAACTTTCAAACTGTGAAAAAAATTCATTAATAGCGGATAGTACATTTTTTCCAAAGGTATAACTTTGCTATGCTTGAAAATTGTCAGACTTTGAGAAACAGTAAAATTCCCCAATTTTAGATAAAAACATTTAAACAAAAGTGTAACAATTATCTATATATTAAATTTTGCTGCCTATTTTAAGATTTCAGAAAGGCCACAGCAAAAAAATCAAAGTCGATATAGCTAGGAAGCAAAACATGTTCCGTATAAACTTTGTGTAGAGATTTTAAAATACTAGAAGTTTAGAAAAAGACAGAATTAAACTTATTAAAATAAAATTCACTCAAAACCTCGAGAATTACAAGCAATTATCAATCAAATCTATCTCTATTAAAAGATGACGGAATATTTACCTGATAAGTTACCTAAACGGACCAAGGTTACATTTTTTATCTTCATGTTTTTGATACTATGTCTACTTTTTGATAAAACACAGGATTAACTGTCAAGTATAAAGTTTTGTATATTTTTAAGCACATGAAGAACACAAGTACATTTTGAATGTTGCGATGAAAATGTATGTTAAAATGCAAAATCTAGAAATATATCAGCGAAAAAAGCACAATTTTTGCAAATAGAAAAAAGAAAGAAACAGATATTAATTCGTATCTTTTCAGAAAATAACATCACTGAATGTAAAACCAGTCTTTTAAGGAAAAAAATGCTATCATTGTTTTTATCAGTGTATATCCCAATCTATTGTTTCATATAAATATAATAAAACTTTCAGAGTAAATTATTGTTTCAGAAAATTAAAAAATAAACTTACCATGGCTTTAAGAAGGCAAGCATTGAAATTCTGTTCGGAAAATGGTCTACATAGATGGTTTTGTTATATAGTCTGATCATCGTCTAACGTTCACTGAATAATTTTCAGCGTTGAGAGTCTTCATATTACATCAAAGGTGTTTTAACACGCTTACACGGAGCTTACCCAAATGTTTGGTGAATGTTATATAAATCTTGCTGCAGTGAACAAAAACGTTAATGCTGATTTCGAAATCTGTTACTGATTACAGAAAAATCAATTCTTGACCAGTACCTTCATTAATTTTTCTGTGCTTCATTTTAAACAATATGGCATAAAATACATTCGAATGAATCGGAATTGAGACAACCCATAATTGGCGACTTCACTGTACCTAAGCAAATTACATGTATGTAGCTAAATATTCAGTGATTGGACAAGTGCTGTTAAGAAGTAAATTTTTACATGCTTAAAAAATAACGAAAATAATCGTGGATATGTAAACCTGTAATTGATTTTGTTTGTTTGTTTGTATTTTGTTTAACGTCCCTCTCGAGAATTTTTCACTCATATGGAGACGCCACCACTTGCCGGTGGAGAGCTGCAAATTTTGTCCTATGCTCGGCACTTACGTCCATTGAGCAGTGAGGGATCTTTATCGTGCCAGCACCTACTGCGACACGGGACCTCGGTTTATACGGTCTCAACCTGTAATTGACGACTTCACTGAACGTAGGTAATTCAAGCTACATAGCTAATTATGATGACACAAATTTCGAATCCGATTACACACAACTCAATTATATTATATTTACACTTGGAAAAGCAAAATGCTATATATTATTATACCCTCGTTCAGTTTTATTTATGTGATTGGAATATGAGAAGATCAGACAATAGATGAATAAATTAAAAATATTCACATATCAAGGCAACATTTGATCCCAGTACAAATTACGTCTATTCCATTTCGCACAATGACAGACTAACCCACCAACTAACACACACACACACAGCGCGTTGCTCTATCCCCTCTGCAACTCTGTTGCGAGGGTATAACTACTATAAAACAATGGATAACAAATGTTAATAGCACACAAATAAGAATTTATTAACAAAAACTATCCTGAACGTTTAGGGCCCCTTAACACGTGTAGTTGAGAGACTTTTGGTGGCCTTTAACTTGTTAGACCCTTTTTCGATCTCTGAAAGCCTCGAAAATTAGGTCTCTATGTAAATGTCTTTTTTTGAAGATTATTTAGCCCTTGTTATGCGATGAAACGTGTAGGATATTATCATATTCATGGCGATTTCCCGAGATCACTAAGCGATATGGTCATTCAAAGAGTGCACATTAAAAAAACCTGTTTGGTAACGTTGCTCTCTCCGGTGACCTTTGGTAGTTTGCATAGCGATTGCTTACCCAACAGTCGAGATAACTAGATCCAGGGAGTTCGCTGAAAGATCAAATGCGCCCAAAAGAGATCACTGCAAACCTAAAAGAAACCACTGAGATATCATTATGCATTCAAAACATTCTGAATTCTTAGAAGAGTGACCTTTAAGAAATCATTGGGAGATCCAAGAGATCGTTGGACGATCTTCTTGTGCTCTTTGGGCGTTCTTTGGGAAACTGATTTCTTTTGTGATTGCTGAGAGCTGTTTTAGGTAGATTAAAAACTTTGAAGAGACCAAAAGAGATTGTTGAGGCCACTGATAGATCATAGCGATTGTTGAGTGACCACCTTTGAAGAATCGTGGAGAGATTTGGTCAATTTTGCATCGCTCAGCAATCTCTCAACAGTCGGCAACTCTGTATAAAGTGGGTTTTATACTTGTTTTTACACTTGGGAGATCTTCCTGTGCTCTTCTGGCGTTCTTTGAGAAACTGATTTCCTTTATGATCGTTGAGAGACTGTTTTTAGGTAGATTCAAAACTTTGAAGAGACCAACGGAGATAGGTCACT